CGTTAACCCACTCACTGTTTTAAGACATCATGTACACCCCCGACGTAACAGTCATTGTGAGGTCATTTTATTTCTTTCTCTGGCAAGTGCCGTTAAATATCGTCGGTTCTTTTCTGAAAACGCAATTGCTATTTGGAATAAACTACCCAGAAAAACTCCCACCACTGATCGACTATACCGTAGCGACGGAGTTTGTGGTCTCTGATCTCCATGTCCGGTCTCATCGGGGACAATTTCTTTAGACAACAGATACAGCTGTTCCTCGGTGCTTCCGTTCGGACCAGCCCCAACTTCATGAAAAGAATTGACGAGTGATAATATCCGATATAGTGCTACCCCTCCCTTTCTTGACTGTCAGCATTTCATGGTCAGCAGTTTTTTTTCTCCTGAACCCTGCAAACTATAAAAAACCACCAGCAACTTTATTTGTATCGCCTTTTTGACATGAACTTTTTCCCTGCCAGCCGGATTTTGTGTTAAACGCTTCCCTGACAATGCCTGTAAAATAGAATTAAATACAATTATTATTATTATTATTATTATTATTATTATTGAATGCTCGACATTCAAACGATTTCTTATGTTTTCGCGAATCTCAAGGCCTGACTCGGCTTCAGCCATCTCTGCTGTACAAAGGATTATAAGCCTATATTGTCTCCTACTTGCTTGGCAGCTCAAACAATCTGTTACTAAAGAATTGAGAGTTGGCTAAGGCTCGTTTTCACTTCTTCACCACCAAATCAGTAAAGTAATATACACCAAGTAGCCAAACGGAAGTTGATAAACAACCGACGTCAAACGCGACGAAGTAAAGGTTTGTGGTGCCGTGACGTTCAAACAAATGGAAGGACTTGTGTTTTCGTTCTATCAGGAGGCTGTAGGAGGCAACAGGATCGGAATGTATCAGTGGATTATATATGTCAATGCTTTCATAGCTGCATATCAAGATAAGTCGCCGACCTCGACGTCGTGCTTGAAATCCAAAAGGGCGACCTTCAGGTCAGTGGTACTCTACGTGCCGCCCTCATCTTTCTTGGCACGAATGCCCATTAATTATGGTTGTCAACAATAATCAGCCTCGACTAAGTACTGATGGTCACGACATCGATTTACTTGGAATTGTTAAGTATCTGAGTGTACCATAATTCAAGAATTTCAATCTTTCGAATCATTGCGTCCTGCTTGTCCCAAAAGCACGCAGAGCGACCAGGTTTATCCTCCGGAATTGGAAAACGAGTCATATTAAAATGTACCCTTACAAAATGCATGTTCGGACTGGACTGAATTATTGTTCGTTTTCATTTAGCACCCTGCTTGCCGCTGAGTATCGGAAAATAGAATCAGATCAGCATTTTATCTAAAAGAGTTTTAGCTTAGGGACGACGAAATTTGACGTACCGGGAACGTTACGGGCTTACAAGACTTGGTCCCTTGAGTTTTTATCGGTTGCAAAGATGACAGTTTTTGCTGTTTTGACATCAAGATGGCCGTCCGATTGCTAATTAAAAGCATCTTGTATACCCTCGACGCAACAGTCACCGCGAAGCCTTCGTAATTTTTACTGTGGCTCGCACCGTTAAATACCTTCAGTTCTTCTCTCCGAACACAATTGCAATGTGGAATATGTTAACGAAAATTGTGAAAATTCTGCCGAATTGTCGTTTGCTTAAGATAACAATTACTCATTTTCTGCATGCAGAAAAACGCCTACACATTGTGGGTGCTGAATTCACAGAAGTAATCTTTCGCAGTGATGGAGTTTGGGTCTCACCTTATGAGAAATGATGCTGTCCACGTAGTTCGCAACACTACAGATAGATTCTTCAATCGGCAACAAACAACTGTTCTCTCATGCATTCTGTTTGGTGCAGACCCATTTCTATGAAAAGGGATAGAGACTGAAAACATCCGATTCAATGTTAAACATTCCCTTTCTGGACTGGCGGCAGTTCAAGGGCTACAGTTTTGTCTTCTGAACCATCGAAACTATTCATAAACACTTCCACTTATGTTTATTTTCCCGATCGCTTTTTCACTGCTTTCCCGATCCGTACTGTATCTTTATTCTGCAATGCCTATACATTGGCATTAAATATTATTATTATTGTAGTTTGTTGCTGCAACACGACATGGCGCATATTATTACACTGGCCTGATTATGAATGAACGAAAACACACTTTTTCGACTTCGAATTCTCAATGGTTGCAAGGGTATTGCGCATTACTTGCATTAATTTGAAAAGATTGGGTGTTATGAAAAAGAGGCTATTTTCGTTTTTATCGATTACATGTCCGCCGCGTTACATTCCATAGTCAGGCCCAAACTGTCGTCCAGGCTACGATCCAGGGTCAATGATATCTCCGAAATACACAGTCCTGGAACACTGTGGAACGGACTAGGGACTAGTTTTTGATCAACTAATCAATATCTACATCAGGATACTAATGCTTGACACGTCTGATACCCAACCCGTGAAAAGGCTTAATCGAAAAAGTGTATTAGGGCTATTGTTTGCTGTCAGCCGACGTACATATGTAGGATTTTACCGTCGATCACCAGAATCGACGAATAAACCCTGACAGTGAAAAAGAGCGCCCAAAGCATTACCTAAAACAGTCAGGAGAGAAGAAGGAGATGTGATCGCTGAAACGAGAACTTCATTCGCCTGAATTTTCGGATTCTTGCTCGAGCCCATAATCTGAGACAATAGCGGAGACGGGGAGTTCATGTACAAGGAGCTGCAGTGTCTATAGGATGCAGTCGCCATGCGACCTCCCTATTCACGGCTCCCCCATTCATCGGGGATTGTTTCACTTGCCGGGATGACTGTTCGATAGCCGACATTCGCGCCGTTAATCGCTGCAATTTTATCCCATGTGTTGGATGTTGATGTGGTGATTGTTCAACCATTTAACCCACTGACTTTGGCGTTGGGAACAATGTTCTCTTGTGCACATTTGGCGCGACTAGTTACTCGGTCTGGGCGAAATGTCAGCACCGCATATGGAAGGGAAAGGTCATTGAACGTTTTTGTAGACTGGGAACCAGAGAGCCATGGCTCAAGCAGCAAGCAACACGAGTGGTTGTCACCTCTAGCGAGAATCTTCGCCTCGTCAAATTTAAATGTGACCGGATCTCGACGTATGAGCCACAACTGGAGGGCTGGCGTCATTTCTCCGCACAGCTGCCGCGTGTTCGGCAATTCGCGTTCGTAGTCGTCTCCCGGTTTTACCGACGTAGTTCCTTTGTTTCCATCTGCACCAGGCCCGTTAAACTACTCGGATCATTGTACCTCATTCTTCGAAAGGACTCGCTGTCCCCAGCAAAATCTTAAAGTTCGATGACCAACTATCAATCTGGAGGTATTTTGTTAATATTGTCTACCCCTGCGGAGGAAACTGTAGGTGCCTCCCAACGATGACCTGGATTGTTGCAGTGGTCTCCCATCTATATTCAACTCAGAAACATTGTCTGGGCGGAACAGTTGGCCGAGTGGGAATGGTGCTGTCCACCGCCGTTTCAGGGGTCAAAATTAGCGAAACCAATTACGCAGTAGTTACTACACTACCACACAACACAGGTGACTAAGTTGTGACGAAAATGGTTGGTCTGTGTTTGCTTGACGACGACCTCCTACTAATGCTGTTCCCCCCTTTGCGCCCATGAGCCCTTATCTGCAACTGTCACGGCTAATATATACAAATGTAAATCCGGAAAGCCGAGCGAACAAACGAATTGCGTCAGCCACCACATCACATCCTTCCGAACTCTTTCCTTCGTCCCTGCAGCCACATTTCGATGGTTTGGTCGTCGAATAGTAAAATCGCGGCCAAGGATTTAAGCAATTGAAGCTAACTGTAAAAACAATCGCGTGCGGCCTGTCCTGACAATGAACACGACATGATTGAGAAAACCGTTGCAAATTTGGCTTATGCGGTTCAGCAGAGAAAGGCTTTCAGAGTTGCGCAGGCTGACACCACAAGGTTTGACATGCAAACGTTATTTTCGACGCTGTGCGGAGAACCGTACGCCTGTCTGCCGTAAAACGTTATTTTCGGTGTTTCCCACTCTGTGTGTTCAAACCTCCTCGGAAATAATGTGTAAGGTCTTCGACAACCACGGACTTACCCGTTAACGTATTTAAACTGCCACCCTGGCGGAAGCTAAAATCTTTGAAGAAGAAGAAGAGTCGAGCACCGGAACAATTCGTTTATTATCCTGAGCTTTCAGACTCTACAGGAGTCCATCGTCAGAGGTAGTGACAGAAACAGGACAAGCGGCAGTTATAAGGCACGTAGACCCAATCATCGACCGACGTCGCACGACTGGAGGTGACTACGAAGGGCTCTGTACGCCGGCGCCAGATCGGTATGTATACACCTGGAACTCGAAATTTCGCCTACATTCGTGAAGCTAAAATCCTCAGAGACGCGTGTGTCTCGTCACACTTCGGGATAAATGGTTGATGCCGCGTTGCCGTATTGGTAGGTCAACATGCCCAGTAATGTGCATTCAATCTCTGTGGGTATTGCGTTTCAGTCAACAACCATGGGTCAGTTTGCGTCAAATTGCTAATTAAACTATTTTGATATCATGTGGGAAGCACATTTTCCTGAATATGATCTTGAACTTAGGAACGAACGCTGCACATGGGTGACGATATTCCAAAACGATAAGCCATAACTAGAACGGACCTGATCTGCTGTCCTCCAAACAAACCAAAACATCGAACACAAATTGTACAACTGCAGTGGATAAGCCGGTTCGCTACATTTGGCGTATACATTCCAAGAGGTATGCAAAGATTAAACAATTCCATCCCTGAAAGACTTCGCAAAAAACATTCCTGAATAGTTTGCAGCCATTAGTAAGAAAATAAGGCAAAATGCAAACAAGTGGCTTTCGGGAAGGGCTGACAAATATTTCAGATGTTTATTTTACTAAACTGAAAATAGAACGCGTAAGACATAACGGAGTTTGTGGGGACCACTGCGCAATAATGCAATCTTCTTCGAGAATCGTGGTAACTTCGGATGGACGAAAACAGCTACTGTCATACAACAAGACTCAAAGGAAGATTGTTCGCGAGAACGTGCGCACGGAAGAAGAGTACCTTGAGGTAGGCTGTTTTTAGATCTTCCCCTTAAGGCGATATCGCCTTATGTACATATGTCTGTACGTACAGTATGATGTCATACTGTACGTACAGACATACATATCTCGATAAATCATTATTCACGTATATCCACTCGCTATCTATTGCTACAAGGGTTTACGCTTGATAAATTTCGCTCTATCATGCAAAACTCCCTTATTAAATTAACTTTGCTCTTTTTGTAAAACATCCTTGGTCTTTTAGCCGAAGGTTTTGCTTTTTGACTAACTTTCGTGAGTCCGAAGATCCCATTCATCATTTAATGTAGACAGCGTTTATCAAAGATCTAATATTCTGAAGTACTTCGCTGCCTTACTGTCAAGACCTGAGCGATTATATGAGTAAGTGCGTTGAACAAAATTGATGCGACGGAATTGTCAGCGTCCAGTCTTCGGGAAATGTTAGCACCCTTTTTGGTCTTCACCTATCGGCAATCGAAATTTCCAAGGGATGCGGAATAATTAAGAATGTACAGCAGCGAAAATGCCCAAAGCAAGCGGTTTTCCTTTTTCATATGCAACGAAGACGCCGATACATTGCACTCTATGTTCAATAAGCCAACGCCAGGCCACACGAATTACCCATCTGTGTCTCTGGGCAGTCCCTACTTCCTACTTAAACGGCCTGTATGTGAGCGCTGGGAGGAGTTCGCTCAAAGGCCGAGGCCGCCGCAGTGTACTGCTCTGTGCAATTCGTGAGCTCGTTAGAAGCTTGGAGGACTTTCCGGGTGGATTTTGGTATTATACGTACATAATCGTTTTGGAAAAACGGTATCCAACATCGTCTTCTAACATGTTCGACATGTTTGACTGCCTTAAGGCACTTCCTACGTTGTTCGCGTCTTGTCGTCTCTGCTGTGGCTGGGAAGTTAAAGCCTCTTCAGCCGTTCCTCTCGGCTTGGTTTTCTAGCTCAGAGTCTGTTCCAGCACACCATGCTATGCATTGCCTATGGCGTCTGCGTGAGTAAGCATTGCTTAAGATATAGCCGAACAGACGTAATAAACAGTAGACGAGGGCTGTGCTCCGTGATATAACGAAAGCGTCTGTAACGAAAAGTTGCTTTCTTGCTCTGGTGGCAGCCAGTATGCGTTAGGATTGTGTTTGGTTAGCAAAATTATAAGGCCGTAAATTGTAGTTAAGTAACTTTGCAGACTGTCTACGTCAGTCAACATTCCTTGCAAATGCACTTTTAAGTCAACCTCCGATTCGCCTTCAGGGAACTGGGATTTCTATGCATTCTCTATAAGATCTTATTAGTTGATTCACCCAAGCATTCGAGCTAGGCCTTCTTCGATGGGGGCTTTGGTCTCTTGACCGACTTGGTATTTTTGTGTCATCTGCAAACTTCAAGCAACTGCTGAATACTGTCGTTGGCAGTTCCTTGATGTAAATGCAAAGCATACGATCGTCTTAACACACCTCAAGGAAAACCGTCACTTTACCCTCTTGGCGTCCCGACTGCGTGCGCAGAAGATCCTCTTTTCCAGCCAAATTATGTCTATAAGATTTCTATAAGGGGTTAATGGCTAACTGTGTCGTGGCCCTTCCTGAAGTCTGAAATTGTATTTCTAACCTCTACCGTCTGGCCTAGTTTCTAGAATTCTGTTGGGGTTGGGGGGTTCATGATAAATGATCATCTTTTAAGGAACCCGTCCTTCATAATCCTTACGGCTTTGTTCCCGTTCAGAAAGTGTTCGTTGTATTTGCGAGGCCAATTAGACCGCGGGTTTCAGCCAGACGCAGAGATCCGCCATTTGGGATAATGGGAAATCTAAGATCGGAGTTAAATGGCTTACAGAGGTTATTAGGACTTTCTGGATGAGTTAAATTCAGAGAATCCGATCTCGGACATTATTGGATTTCGTTTGCGATAGATGGCGCTGAAATTCTTTTGACTCGATTACTCTGTTTTCCATTTTAAAAACTGTCCTTGAGGCAACACGAACCTACGCGTTTGGTTTCCTGTATTTAATGTCCGACCGAACTGCTGGCGAGCATGGAGATACCTCTGCTTTTCATGACGACATGTGTGCACTAATTGTTTTCCTACAGATATTGACAGTCTTTTTAGTTTCTGCTTGATAAGATCCAGCGGTCCACCTCCTATCCGGCCATATTTATTTTTTGCGTCTTCTAAGACCGATCTAAAAAGTTGGGCATAAATATTAGTTCGTTTCACAGTAAACCGTTGGTTTATCCTCTTACCCTATGACAAGTTCCCTTAGACTTTACAGCACTTTTATGAGTACCCGGCTATCATCTGTTTTACTGAAACTTTTTACTTAAAGCATCTGGGTAAGATTATTCAACGGGACTTCTTCCCCGACTTGGACGCCGCTAAAGGAGGCAGTGTTCCCGCGTCCGAAACCCCTGATGGCAGAACTCCGGCTCTAACTACGCCATCAAAGACGGCCGGGTGTCCCCCATCAAGAAATCCGGAGTTGGATCCAATTGGTATGAGTCTGGACAAATACCTCGCCAACAATACCACCGAAGACAATGCCTCTTTCATCGAAATAATTGAAGACGCGGACAGACGGCGTGGAGCTAAATTGTCAGAATTCTTTCCGCCGATTGTACCCGAAGCCGTACGTTCTGCATTCTGTGCCAAAATTTGTCGAAACGTTCCATTGTTGCCACCTTTTTTAGAAAAAGATCATCTGGCTTACTTCTGTGGTTGCTTTTAGGATAAGCCGGAGGACAAAATGCCTCCTCCATGTGCATGATGATTGAGTGTCTCTGATCACATAATATGGACTCTCGATCGATATTTCTACTATCGTAGGCCCTCATCTACGCATAGGATCGGATCATCGGGAGTTCGCTTCTGTTAAAATATTAGTTGATGTTTCAGTAAGGAAAGCTTTTCTACAGACATAAGAGGCGTAAAGTCTGGTTGCGGTTTATTGATCTTTCAAGCGAAGCTATAGAGCCTGCCATCCGTGGACCTTCACAACGATAGATATGATGATTCTTTCTGTGGGCATTTGATTACCAATAGCATTCCTGGTTGCATATCGTGCGGAATAAATTTCAACTAAAAATGTGGGTACGCTACTGACCAGCCCAGTCCTAGATTCTGACTGTCAAAAATTAAAGTGGCATTTTAGACATATCGCACCCGTGCTTCATCCTTTGGCTGATCGGTTTCCGTTTCGTTCGACGGCCATTTCAGTGATTCGGAGGAGATTCGTAGGCCAGGCGGTTTTTAGAACGGTTTGTATGTTTACTTGACTCCATGTTTAAGTTTCCTATGAGACAGACCGTTGTGTTTGCTTCCTAATACCCCCAGTATGATTAACTTTTATGCATTTGCTACTTAGACGGACCAGGTTCCCACCCAAATGATCGGTTATTGTGCCTCCATTGCTCCAATTGTAGCTCACCAATGAATCAGAGACCTTGGCCATTACGGACGGTTCCTCATCCTCCCAGCCCAAATCATCTGTCAATACCGCTCCCAGGTCTCTTGAAAGTTTAACAAGTCACAATACTGTCCACTTCCTCCCCGACGGTGCTCCACCAACTGCGGAGGAACTGGCTGAACATTTCAACAGGGAACGAAAAATATGTCCGGCAAATAGCAGATTTAAGCGGCCTCTGGCACCACCACCGCAGGATAAAAAGAAACTCTTTGGCGGCGCAGGCAGCATAAAAATGGTAAGTATCGGTTGGACCGCAGATCTCGCCTGAGTTGTGGAAAATTATACCGGGTTCTAGCCTACCGCATTTTCCTGTAGGGCCGAATCGGAATCGATGGGAAGGAGAGGCTGGCTGATTCTCCTCTGGCCACACCGCAGGCCGGTGGCTACAAGTTCATGGATGCATCACCTTCGCCCTACTCACTGGCAGCAGATGGCACGCCCCTGATCACCTGGGGTGAAGTGGATTCGACTCCATACCGTCTGGATGAGGCAACTGGTCGCACGCCTGTCATCTCCTCCGGCGTCTCCTCCTTCCGTATTCCGTCGCCGTCAGCACGCGAAACAATTGCCCATCAACTGGCTGACAAGGCTGGTCGCCAGCGTGCTAGTGGCCGGATAGAAGCAATGAAAATAGCCAAGTCTGGGCTTCTGAGGTTTGTCCCCCACCTATCACTATATTTCCTTCAGTCCCCAAGGCAGGCCTAGGACCTAAACTTACTAGACCAGGCCGTGACACACATTTTGGCTCAGACCTGCCACGGGAAACGCGAAGAAGGACTGGGGCTGCATCCTGAGGCAAAATTCCTCACGCTGGTCTAGCACTGACATTTGCCTTCCCAAATCCCACGATTCTTAGAATTATCATAGCGCACAAGAAATCATAACTTGGACAGCCACCACCGGATGACCCGGTCACACTACAGTGACTTCTTAAGGTGGTCTCTATGACAACTGCCCTTGAGGCGGCATGATATTTATACTAAACTGGTTCGTTTTGATTGACGGACCAGTGTCTGTGTAACATCCCTATGCGGTCGTCTTACTCACTGAGCATGGTTGTTGTGAGGAAAGTCCCCTTACTGTAATCCGACTTACGCGCAAGCCACCACTGCGTTCGAGGCAATTATGATCTTCGCTTTCGACTGCACTTCCCTTAATTCTGACTTCCAGAACCGTAAGCCAAGTCAATCTCGTCCTACTGGCTGTTCAGTCAATCCTGCTCACAACGCCAAAATTTTGGTCTTCACGATCGAGTCGGTACAAGCTTCAAGCGTCGCCTACTAGATCACTTACCGATTCTTCAATTTTTCTCTCCAGTTGACCCCATCCACCAGGGCTTTTCTGTGCATTTAGTCTACAAACATCTCTGTATGCCATTTAAGTTTGCCATCTTTAAGTCTGTTGTCAATACAACTCATAGCAACTGTCCCAGATGCACTCCCATACTCGATTGCACCCAGAATGTCCCTCTCTTACAGTGTAAAACGGCGGCCTATTAAGATGTATTAGGGGGATATGAACACTCGATAACCTGTAAATCCGACCAATAGATAGAAACTAAAATGACAGTTCGGCCGCCGCAAGCGACGACGTCCACGGGGGGGGGGGGGGGCGCAGGACTGGTCACTTGCACGTGCGTTGGTTTGTACGGAGGTAGACCCGCGCAACATATACCGCACTCTCCTCCCTCGCCCACGTTGCTCCGCTGTCACAACGGCGTCAAGACTGTCGGAGGTAAGCGGCGTGGATACAGTGGCCCACAAAGTTAGACAGTCCGCCAACGCGTGCCACGCGCGACCTTCCCCCGTTACATGTATCAGGCTTCTGCAAGAACACAAAGGTCACACTAAGAAGGAGTCATTGCAGTCCGACCCTCAGTCCTTCAATCATTTAAAACACCGCCGTGATGGCCGACGGCTAGGCGGCCAGAGTAAGTGCCCTGAGCGCTACAACCACCAGGTCGAATCTCATGTTTGAAGGAGAAGACAGAAGGTGCCAGAATGAGGGGTTTCTTGTGCACAAAACCCAGACTTGTCCTCTCAGGCGTCAGTGGCCACTGGCGAAGCCAGGGCTGGTGTTGACTGCGTCCAGTCAGGCCTGAGAGTCCTTGGGACAGTGGTGGCAACCACACTTTTGGGCTCGTGGGCCAAGCTCAAGTCGTCTCCAATCGGTGTGTGTTGCATTTGTCGAGGGATGGTGTTCCAGTGGCTTAGGTTGTGGTTGCAGGGAGGAGGTGCGTTCAAGTGGCCTAATGGGCAGCTGCAGACGCAGGTATGCCCGAGCTGTCGGTCGTGTAACTTCAGGTCAGCGCGTCTGGAACGGCTCACTGCAAAAGGGTGAATGACCTTGAGGCAGCGAGGTCTTGAACAATGACGCCAGACCGGTCATGATGGCTGGCCGCTACAACTTGTCAGCCAGCAACCTTCCAGTTCGCAACTCGTAGGGCCTCGTGATAGATTTGAGCATCCCAGGTTTGTTAGTGAGAAGTGTGTTGATGTGCTATGATAGGCTCCAGGTGTCGACCTCCGGCAGGGTTTAAACAAATGCACGGATTGTCAAAGGCCTTAGACCACTAAAGGAGATTTATGTTCCTGAATGTGGTTTTGTTGGTTGGATGGGTGGACTTAATGCCTTTCGTCATGTTATGAAAGTCTTACTAAAGTACTTTCTTCCGTATCGATGCTAGTGAAAATATAATGCTTCAGACCCAATTGTGAAAGACTCAGCCGCCACGACACCAAGGGCAGGGCTTGATTACAGACTGCTCCACTCACCTGAGCTACGAAGCATCGACCGGCAGCCGTGAGTCTAACCATATTTTGGTCAAGTTACCCGCCCAACTCACTGCAACATATGGAATCCACCAACTTTGATGTAGTTAACTGACTGCCTAAACAAAGTTTCCCAAGTAATCAATCTCAAATCCGCCAGATGGGGAGGGGTCATTTGAATAATTCATTTGATCAAATTGTGAAAACTTGACGGCATCATAAAAAGAGGTGTTCATCGGAAGATAGTTCTCCGGTGAATGTCTCTTTCGTAACCCTATTTTACAGCATACATTGGGACTCCTGTCCTTATTTCAGTAGTTCCGGTGCGTACTCTATCCGGATAGAGGGAACGCTTATTAAGCCTGCTTTTCGCTTGTCTTCCAGCCCGCACATCTCCAAGACGACTCTCTCTCCAGCTGCACGCCGTCTCCTCACAAGCACCGGTCGACTGTCCTTTGGCGGCGGGGGCATCAATACTCGCCCCAACTCGGGTCTTCGTTCCTCTGATTTGCTCAGTGGTACTACACCCCGAAGCACACCGCGTCGTTTGCCCTCGGACTTGGGCATAGTGCCCCGGGCCAACAGCTCGCTTACTAAGCCGCCCAGATTGGTTGACAAAGTGGATGCTGCAACAGTGTCCACGCCGGGCAACGAGACGCCCTCTCGACCCGCCCCCGACGCCTCCATCACAAATGACCTTCTACGCCTGCCTACATCTGCAAGTCGCGGTGGCGCTTGAGATGACTCACTTCCTCACTCCCTCCTTGTACATACTTGCACGAAACACTAGTTTACGCCCTACCAGGTCTTGTACTGTGCGGGTTTTTCCATGATTACTCGCCCTGGTGGTTCTGGGTGTCTGGATGAGGATTGCCGATAAGTTGCCAGCGCCCCTCCCATCGTTCCTTCAAACCAAATCCAAGTCACGCTCCTTCCGATTTTCTGACCGTTCTACTGGTTGCGGACCACTAAACCGACTCATAATGGAAGTAACGCACTCGAGTCCTTCGATCTTTTTTTAGAATTCCACAGGTTCTTCCGGTATCGTTTGACACGAGTCCGACTTTCTTAGATATGCCAGGTGTCAGGATCACAAATGCCGACCCTACCACAGATTTGGGTTTGCCGTTTTGCTGTCCAGGCCTGACAGTGTACAGATAAAGCAGAGCTCTAGGTAGGTCGAAGGTGGCACTTCGCTCAGAAACGGCAAAAAGCAGTCCGCCTTTGCCCAGTCTCCCAAGTCTATCAAAAACCTAACACCGCAGGAGTCCCCTCCTGCTCTATCTAGGTGGTGAGAGGTTCGAGACAGCTGGTTTCTCTGCCACCGGCAAGACAGCACCGGCGGTGTCCCTGTTCATGTTCCCGCGGTCTTGCCATGAGATTCTGTGGAAGTCAGATGCCCGGGACGCCCCTCCAGTGAAACATAACGCGACATCTCCGACGACCCGTCTCAATTGAATACGGCGGTTTCGGCTGAGTTTAAAACACGGAACTCAACCACTCTTTGGGGACGTTTAGTGGTAACGCTGAGTCTGCCACACACTCCGGTGGCCCGAGTGTTATCTGCTTCGTGACGGCCTCTCCCCGACCCTGAACGAATTAACGCCGCTCTCTTCGTTGATAACTGAGAAAAAACACTTGTGATGGCCTGAGCAACTCAGAACCTCACAGCCGTCGGTGTCTGACAGGTCACTAACTCTACCCAATGATTCTCTCGATGGTGCGGACTAGTTCTGGGTGGCAACCGTAACCCTTGTTAGCTAAAGCGTCATCGTGACGAAGTCATTCTGAGCTCGAAAGCGGGGGAGAGCCTTCTAAATAATATCCAACCAAACACTTCGTCTCTAAAACCAAGCCACCGCGTGTATGACTTGCTCAATTAACAATAACGCAGTCCAAGTCGGCTCGGTCGGGCGCACGCCAACTTTTCTCTGGAATGCTCTCTAACCCTCAGCGACGCGCTTACTGTTCTCAGTACCGCACAAATAATACATTTCGCGTGGCCGCCAGGAATCACACACTGGTGCTCAACACATAAACATTGGGGGAAAAGACGCTAGGCTTACGAATTAACCCGACAGTTGGCGTACGAAGCAGTTCCGGCGGGGGAATGATCATGAGGAAAGTGTTAGCTAGCAGAAACCTAGAGGTACACGTCCCCTCCCAAAACACCATCCGTGGTAGCCCTTTGTAGGAAAAAGTACCTCAGAAGGTCCCCAAGGAACTAAAATCAGACATGGAGGAACTAAAAGGGTAGCCACCTATTGGCTGGTTCGGATTGGCCAAACGTGTAAGGTACAGTCCGATTCCCAACCACGGCAGAAGTTCAGTTAGACCCCCGAAGAAGCCTGAGTACGTTTGCGGGCCTATAGTGGCCAAACCACCGCTGTCGTGAGACGAAACTGATGTTTTGGAAGCGTATAATTCGATATTAGATAAAATATTGCACATGTGGTTGAATAAACACCGGGTAGGCGGACAGCATACTGGCCATCGTAAAAAAGGGCATCTCCAACTCGAAGGAAGCCCAAAAATCCCCTTAGCAAGTCATTTTTAGTCGGGAGTCTTCCTGTTTCTTCGCTGCATCTTCTTAAGACGGGCTTTGGTTGTGAAGTCGCCAGCGTCGGTCACGGTGACATTGAAATACCATGCGAAGAAGAACACGACACAAAATGTGGTGATAGTGAGACCGCCGAAGAATATGTAGAAGCCCTCCT